TTTTGCACGAATTTTGCACTTCGCTCTTTAAGATGACGGGAATTGTAACGAGCATTGTAAATATCATAGGATTAAAATATCACTCATCTGTCTTGATTTATTTTCAAGCTGTTCAACTTTTACAACAAGCGAAGAGAAAACACTATTTCACCTTGTTTTAATTTGCGAACTTTGCGCTTGTATTTTTATGTATTCTTTTCAATAATTTTATTTTATTGTAACACCTTCCGACTACTGAATTGTTTCTTGTTTGTAATATTTTTATTAATTGTCATGTTTTATGTACTGATGATAGTCAAATCTTGACCGAAACGTCTACTTATTCATTTATTTGTGAATTTTAAATATATGACTCAATTTTACATCTATTGTTGTGGCTGTATGCTCTTTACTATTTATATTTGTTTAGCCACCTTCGAATACTTTTACATTGAATTGTTAGAAATCTCACATCTGAAGAATTCGTCACATGTAAAAAACTATAAACTATAAATTTTACTTAAAACATCTTTTCATATATCTTATTATACCGATTAGAATATCTGAACTGGAAACATCTGAAGATCTATCTATGGCTCGGGAAGCAGTTGATAAAAGAAATTATATTGCAAATAATTTGTAAATTAAGTATATAAAGTAATGAAAATAAGATTAAAGTAAACAAACATATGTATGTAAAAATGAAAATTTATTATTAATAACATTACATAGTTACATTTTCGTAAGAAATTGTTTTAAAAGTTCATTTCTTTCTCTTTGAACCGAATTGTTTTCTTTTTGTTAACTTTTCAATCACGTTTACTTGTTCCTCCTCAACTGCAACCAATTTTTTTCTCATATTGTAAACCTTCTTTAAATCTCGTCTTTTTTGGCACTTTTTAATGGAATAGAACGTCCAGAAACTGAATCTGACATTTCTGCTGAATTCGGCCTATCGATTAAATATTCATTTTCTAACGTGCAATTAGAATTACTATTATTGACATTGATATCTAATTCTATAAATAAACCAGCAGCAATCGGATTAGACAATGACGAAGATCTTGCAATTGAATATGAACACGAAGTAGAACAAGTGCAGTTCATTGAGAGACTACTTAGAAAATGCGTAGATTGACTGAAATTTGTTGAAATGATGCTTGGTCTTGACACAATTGTAAATGCCTAGTCTGTGACTTGACTGAACGAGGTATTGTCGAACCGAAGTTTATGAAAAAAAATTTCCGCTCAACAGAATGACGTTCGCTCCCGTAACATGTTGAGGGAGCGATGCAGAAAGTACGCCATTTAGCGAATAGTTCCGTAGCGCTCTTTATTATTCTTGCTGAATGCACCCATTGACAAAAAGTGATTACATAATAACTAGGCAGTAATTTATGATATAAGTTTATGTATACATTCAAGATAAGTATAACAAATGGACAGTATAAGAATCACTTAGCAGTTTTACGTTCAGTCAGTGCAGTAATTTTGTCATAATCATATCTGTTCAATTTGTTAAATTGTTTTTATATTACGATTCAAAGCCAAATTTAATCTTTGGAAATGATTATCCATCCGCTTAATGTTGTTAGACACTTAATAATACTTTTATTAGCATCTATAAGTTCAATATATCTAACAGAAACACCAGTAAACTGAAGCAGAAATAGTGTTAAACTCCACAGTTCTTTTCTTCGATTAGAATTTTCGTCATCACCATAAAAGTTATTAACAAGTAATACCAGTAGACCACCTGTTTCTACCATAGGAAGTTACAATAGTGACGAGTCGAATAACATTCGCCTTTTTGGATTAATAATCCTCGCGAGACGAAGTTATTGGATTAATTATTTGAACCAAGTGCCGAATAGACGAACTTTATCCCAAGGAACAGAAGAAATAAATAGATTAAGAATTACAAACTGAAACAGCAGTTGTCTGTAATAAATGACACATGTGACTCTATCTAAGCTATTGAGCATCCAGCAAATAGTTGATGACGGAAATTGTTTTAGACAGTATCCCATTTCACAACCGATCCTTAATCCTAATCCTAGATTAGACCAGTAACATACGCGAGACCGCACTATTAACTCGCGAATATAAAAAGGAGGCCCTTCGTGATCAGTCAATCAAAACTCAACTACAAAACGTCCAGTAAAGCTCCAGCTACCAGTCCAGTAAAATTTCAAATATCAAATACGACACTCTGCCGATCCACGATCAGTTTTATCAACCAACTTTAATTGTGATCCGCGACATGGTCGAGTCACTCCAGTGTCTCCAAATCACTCGGGTCTGCAGGACATTCAGCCACCTACAGTTAGAGACCACTGACAATGAGATCGGACCTTCGGCAGTCATCCTCGAAAGTCAAAACTTGCAGAATAGCAGTAAGTCCCGTCTTAACTTATATATCCATATACTCACCACAAAATCTAACCCAACGCAAAACCATAGTGCCATGCTTAAACCGCCCCCACAAGGATTGGCTTAAAACCAGTGAAGCACGGAGACTCCTGGATCAAGCATACCAGGAGTACCTTGACGCTTCTCGAGATCGGAGTCGCCCAGTCGAGGACGCATTGCCTCCACCACCTTCGTCACCACCGCTCCGCTGGCTCTATCTACTAACCGTGACGCGTTAGAAGTGATATCTCCTCCTTCTCCTTCACCTCCCTCTCGAACTCTTTCGTCTTTCCCTCGAACTCCTTCACCTCCTCCTCGATCTGTCACCCGCGTTTTCGGATACTCTGACAGAACGAATTTTCCCTGACACCCCTCCGCTAACATCCGATTCATCCGTCATCTTAATCCCGTTTTTTCCCAGAAGAACTCCACAGACAGCGTGGAGTTCCTACAAGAAGTTCTTCCTCCACCGCCGAGATCCTATTTCCGCATCCAAGAGAGTGACTCATTTGAGTCACTCGTTAGACAATTCTCGCGAACTACTGAACCTATTCTCGAGAAGACTTTTACGATCGGGCCTCATTATTTTGATCCATATGAAATTCGGCATGGAATTACCGGCAAACCTCTCCGTTCCTGTGTTCCGGTGTTTATTTCGAATTCCATCTATCCATTTATTTCCAGTGGAATTCTTTTTCAATCTTTTTCCTCTTTCCTCCATTACTACCCATGAAATAGAATGAACAAAAATCTGTATGCTCTACTCCTGAAACTTCATTCTCTGGCAATTTAATGCAACTTACCATGTATAAAATTTAAATAATTATTAAATGTTAAATAGTTAATAATAATTATCGCGTTGATCTATAAATTTTTCTTTCTTTTTATAGTACTTATATTAATTAATGTGTAAATTAATTTGTAATAATAAATTTATTAATGTATAACCTTTTTCTTTATCTTCTGTAATTGTATTATATTAAACTTGTAATCCGTTAATGATAGATTGATAATGTTTGTAATATTATAATAAACAATAGTAATAATTTTACATCTTTCTCGTTCTTTAAATTTAAAACCTTAAAACCTTATACTCGTAACTTTGCCTTTTCAGAGATTGCACATGGTCCACTCCCGAGTTAAAGGGATTAGATTCCTTGACTCGAAATTCGGATCAACGATCGCACCGCTCATAAGAAACAAGTGCGTCTTTGCGAGACGTTGACCCATATTCGAGCACAAAGAGGTGCGTTCGACTCGCAGTACTCACTTCTATGCGGATAGCTGTGAGACAAGAGTCTAACCGTCCTTCCAGATACCCTCACCATTTCCATTCCTCTTCTCTCTAATGGAATCATAAATTTAAAAATCTCCAAAGATTTGGACGTAACAATAGAATTAAAAGAAATATACAAAAATTATTGCTGGGTAGCATTTTTCAATGGGTTGGAAGTAACAGAAAAAACTTATCTCGATTATCAAGAACCTTATAAACTACATAATTTTGAAATAATTGAAAATGATGAAGAAGCATGAAGTGAAGATAATTTAAATTCTCATCCTCAATGTTCAAATGACTTTGACAGTTCTTATAAAAGACGAGCTGTTGAGCATTGGCGAAATTAGAACATTAATGAAAAAAATAAAAACAAAAGGAATCATCTGCTAAAATCAGTGCAAAATAAATTTAGAAGAGCTTCATTTGAACATAAAATCAGTAAAAAATAAATTTAGAAGAGTTTCATTTAAATGCCAATTAACGATGGGAAGAATAATTACATTCAGGTGGAAATCGTATAGAAAAATTATGTTACGTCTCTATATTTACACATAATAAATTTACTGCAGTTAAATCAAAATTGATAATTCATGATATCGATCTATAAAGATGGACTTTACAAGCTCAAGAAAAAATAGGAAAATTTAAATCCTATATTTAAAGCATCTCACAGTTGAGTACCAAAAAGTCCCACCGAATTGTTTCGAAAAAAATTACGAAATTTGTAACTAAAAGAACAATAGAAGATTCCGTTGCAAAATACAGCTAATGATTTTCTGAAAACAGTGAAACCATTTATCGAATAGATCGCATCTGAAAATGTTTTTAATTCAGATCAAAGTGGTTTCCAAGTGGAAATTCATTCTGGAAGATCATTGTCTAATGAAGGAGTAAAGAAAGTAGAGTGTGTTGTGCAATCTATATTAACAACACACTCATACACCATATAATCAATAATATAATGTAATGGAAATTTGTTGTCACTTTTATTTATTGTATTGAAAGAAACTAATGATATATTTGGACCAAGAGTACAAAAAACCTTATTTACACTAATAAATGTTATTGTAAAAACATCGAAATCTGGTAAAATGACTTCAGGTAATTAAATAAATTTTCTTTTACAATACATTTCACTGTTTTACTATTAAAAAGTAAATATAAATTTGCATAAACGAAATAATATAACGAAATTATAAATCTTATTTCTGTGATATATTTTATATTTTATTTAACAATCTCAACAGTCATAAAATAGTTATTAATTTAACATTTATATTTCTAACAAACATTTTAAAATGTGGTAATAAAAAGCTGATTTTCCAAACATTGGTTCTAATAGTGTTCTTCTTATCGGTTCATGGACTGGACATTGTCCCAATATTATTTCAAATTTAACACCTGCAGGAAAACATATTATTATGATTATACTAAAAGGCACTACAGAGAATATACAACCATTAGATGTTTAAGGATTTAGAATTTGGAAAAATTTTGCTAAAAATTTTCAGATATTGTTTTATTATTGAAAATATAAATTTATATACGAGTATATGAACAAAATAATATAATGAAATTACAATCTTTGATACATAATCAATTGTTATCCCCGCAATATCATAATTTATTTAAAAATTCATGGTTTAAAAGTGGTTAGAAACGAAAGACCAGAAGAATTTGAAAATTCAGTAGAATTTAGTTTTGACTAAACTTCAACAATATAATTTCGAAGGTTGCAGTAATTTAACTATAATAAAATGTTCATAGTATAAGAATTCAGATTTGACTTCAGTTAGATTTGAAACATTTTTTCATCGAGTATCATTATTATGATGAGTATAATGAGTAACCGATACAAAACATAAATATATTATGTATAAACATTTAGAAATTATTTTATTATTAAGTATAATATACTTTTGAAATTATTACGCAAACGGCAAGTAAATAAGATATTAAAATGTAAAACTGAAAATAACTTTAATAGAATAATCATAAGATATTATAAAGAAATAATGTACAGAGATGAATAAAAAAGTTTTACTCATTTTAAGGAAAAATAATGAAAATTATTATAACTTTTAACAATAAAAATAAACAATCTATACAAAGTCAATAAGAATAACAAGCTGATGAAGGTGCCGACAATTAAATTCCATTATCGTGTTACGTCCAGACTCCACAGTTCTTTTCTTCGATTGAAACTTTCGTCATCACCATAAGAATTATTAACAAGTAACACCGGTAGACCATCTGTTTCTACTAGAGGTTACAATAGCGACGAACCGAATAACATTTACCTTTTTAAACTAATAATCCACTCGGGACGGAGTTGTTGGATTAGATATTTGAACCAAGTACCGAATAGGCTTTATCCCGAGAAACAAGAAGAATAAATAGGTTAAGAAATATAAACTGAAACAGCAGTTGTCTGTAATAAATGACACATGTGGCTCTAAACTATTGGACATTCAGCAAATGGTCGATGACGGAAGTTGTCTTAAACACATATCCCAGTATCCCATTTCACCGATATCCTTAATCCTAATCCTAGATTAGACAGCACACGCGAGCTCTGCACTCGGCACCACTAACTCGCCAATATAAAAAGAGATCCTCTACGAGGAACACGCAGTTGAATTTCAACCTCCAACCGTTACTCTGCCGGTCCGAGTCAAACATTATTCTGCCGGTCCGTAGTCACATTCCGATCAGTATATATACTTTACCGGTTTACCTTACTCTACCAGTCTGCTAGCAAAAGTGCTGAGTCACGTAAAATCGAATGAAACGTAACCATACTGACGACTCGACCGGAGCCTCCACATCTGATCGCCAAGGGAATCGGGCCGTTGGATCCATTCCCATCTGCAGTACCAGTAAGTTCCTTTGACCCACACACACACACGCACGCACGCGCGCACGCACGCACGCACGCACGCACGCACGCACGCACGCACGCACGCACGCATATATATATATATATATATATATATATGTACATATATATAGAAGATCCGCTATACGTTAAATTACGTTAAATCATAGTGCCACGGCTAAACCGTCTCTATAAGGAATGGCTTAGAAGCCAGGCCTACCGGGAAGCGCGGAGACTCCTGGACGAAGAGTTCCACAGATACCTCGGGGGTTCTCGAGATCGAAGTCGCCTGGCCGAAGACGAATTATCTCCACCACCCTCATCACGACTGCCGGCTCTATTTAACCGCGACCCGTTAGAGGTTATATCTCCTCCTCGAACACCTTCACCTCTCTGTCGAACTCCTTCACCTCCCCCTCTATCCCAGTCACCCGGGTTTTCGGACGCTCTGACGCAGCGAATCTTTTCCGAAAATCCTCCGCTAACACCCGATTCATCGGTCAATTCCATCCCAATTTGCTCCAGAGGAATTTCATCCCCGACGAACTCCACGGATAGTGTGGAGTTCTTAGGAAATTCCTCCATCCCCACCTAAATCCTATTTTCGCGTCCTACAGAGTGGCACTTTCGAGTCGCTTATCAGTCAATTTCCGCGAACTACTACCGCATCTATCCCTGAGGGGGCCTTCACGATCGACCCTCATTATTTCGATCCTGAAGAAATCCGCAATGCTATCACCGGTCAACACTCAAATTCCTGTATTCCTGTATTTCCCCCGAATTCTGCCAATCCATACCTAGTTCCAGTGGAATTCTTCTTCAATCTTTTCCCTCCTTCCTCCGTTTCCATTCATAAAATAGATTAAGCAAAACCTATCCGATTCCTCCAACTACTCAATGTACATAAAATGTATGGTCGCTACCGAATAGACTGTTGCATCATTAGAAACTATATTAATGTATAGATTAGTTATAATAAATACGCCTATTATTATATAACCGTGTTTTTTTAATCTTTTGGTTAACGACAATAAACAATGCTAGTAATTATTTTTCTCTTTCTGGTTATTTAATTTTAAAACCCCTAATAAAACCTCGTAATCATTAAACCTTGCCTTTTCAGAAATCGCACATGGTCCATTCCCGAGTTAAAGGGATTTCCCTGACTCGAAATTCGGACCGACGATCGCACCATTCATAGGAAACAGGTATCATAACGTCTTTACGGGACGTTGACCCATGTTCCGAAGCGAGCATAAAAAAGGGTGCGTTTGATTCGCAGTATTTGCTTCTGTACGGATACCTGCGAGACAAGAGTCTGATCTTCCACACTCCATCCTTTCTATTCCCTTCTCTCTTAAAATCCATTTTCCGGAGCTTGGACGTAACAATCGATTGTGAGGAATTTTTTATTTTGAACATTTCGACTCTTTTTGGAGTCCTCTTCAGCAATATGGTACATATATCAAATCCTAATTCATTGAACCTTCCGTCAAACGTGAGTCACTAATAGGTTCCCAACTGAAGTGGATTCTGATTAAATATATATATAATTAAAATTGAGATATAATAGAAAAAACATATCCAAGCAGCTCACCTCAAACGGGAAGTTCAACATGTTCATGAAGCTTTAGAAGTTAATATTAATAGATTATTGACACAATTATCTCAGTTTTAAACATATTAACGATTTACAAATCTTCCTCTCTGAATAGTCAAATGTGTTTAGCGAACTATTTTTCATTGGAAAAGGACACACCGAAAAACAAAACAATTAAGTCATAACTAACATTATAATATTTCAGATATAAATTGTGTATATACAAGACGTGAAAAATACATTAAATTCTTTACAAGTGATTTAATTGGTCAATTCAGTTAGCATTATCGTATAGGCGTGATATATTGTATAATCCTTCAGTGTCAGACCGTAAATTTAAATCATTTTTTTGCATGATATGCGCTTTTTGAGAGATTAGTCGTTTATTTAAAGATCTCTCCAGAATTTGGACATTCTCTCAATCAAAATCATGATTCAATTCAACTCTATGATTCGTAATAACAGATTGTGAATTGATATTCCAATTGATGTGATTACGATGTTCAGTGATTCTAGAGTTCAATTTTCTTCGGTTTGTCCAACGTAAGACGCGTCACAGTCTTTGTATGTGATTTTGTATATTACATTTTTATTCTGATTTTTTGAGAGAACATCCTTCTGGACCTTAATGAATCTACTTTGTTGTTACTGTAAAATGCTGGTTTTTCTTTTTTACAAATTGTTAGAAATTTATCTGACGTGGTATTTATAAGGAATTAAAAACCAAGGAGTTCTTTTTATATTTTCCGAATTGTCATTGTTAGACAGGAATCTTGTTCAACATGAACAAGTCTAGAAGATAAAAATTTTAATCTTGTGGAAATGATGTCAAAAATGAACTCCATTAAGTAATCATTCCTTAAAAAAATATTGATTATTAATCTAATATTTTTTTGATAAAATTTTGATTCAGATAATAAAATAGCTCTATCAATCATTTCAAATACTACTCCTTTTCTTTGTGATACTGGATGTGCAGAAAAAAAATTCAGATAACGCTTTGAAAAAGTAACTTCCCGTTTGAGATGAGTTGCTTGGATATGATTTTTTCTATCTCTCAATTTTAATTTTATATATACCTCAATTTTAATTTTATATATATCTAATCAGGATCCACTTCAGTTGGGAACCTGTTAGTGACTCAGGTTTGACGGAAGGTTCAATGAATTAGGATTTGATATATGAATTGCTGAAGAGGACTCCAAAGAGAGCTGAAACGTTTAAAAGAAGATTCCACACAATCGATTAATGATATAGAATTTAATCGTCGGCATCTTCATCAGTCTGTGACTCTTATTGGCTTTGTAGATTGTTTATTTTTATTTTTAAGATTTTGAGTCTGAAAAATTTGAGGTAACTCTTAACATTATTTATAACTTGTAATATCAATCATGACAATTCCCTTATTCATTGATTTATGTATTTTATCGTTCCGACGACAATTACGCATATGAGTGTGGACAGCGTATATATGGAAGCGTTAATAATTAATTCTCGAAAATGATATGTCGTAACTTTATTATGGTTAAATTTGTAAAAAAATAATTTTTAATTTGGTAAAAAAAGTTGAAAATTTTAGAAAATTACGAGTGATGAGAGTATTTTGTTAAACAAAAAAATAAAAAAATTATTTTCCTTTATAATTTTAAAGTACTCTTGAAACCATTTTACATACAACTTACGTACTTTTGTTTAAAAAATTTTTTTCTATCTTTTATACTTCCGACGATATTCGGCTCGAAAGAAAAAGACCGTTTTTTTCAAAGGGTTGTTTCAGTCCTTAAACATAAGTTAGCACACGTATAAAAAAATACGTGTCTCTTAGATTTTTGTATTTTACAACATATTTCATAGAGAATTAAATCGGTTCCGGACAGTTGCAAAACTTCCCTTGTGAATTCAACTTTTGCTCCACTGCCTTTGAAGTCAATGGAGATCAGTGCACGTTAAAATTGAGGTTGTATTCGTGCTAAGGTATTATGTTATAATATGATATTACATTATTATATAATTAATGTTATAATAATGACATTGTTTAGTTTCAATATTTCTAATAATAGCTATGCAATGACATTTTGATGTTTAGAACTCTTGAAATGTAAAAATTTAATTTTAAAAAATAAATAAATTTTAAATAAATAAATGAATATCAGAATATTGTAAAATATGTAATTTAAGTTTGAACATAGTTATATATATTTTTAGGAGTATTATAAAATGGGTATCAATAAAATAGATGTCTAATGATATGTTCCATTGAACCGCACTATACCTGCATTATTACTGCAGTAGTGCAGTTTTCATCTAAGCCTAGCACGGCACTAGTGCTACACCAGTTTTTCCAGTGGAAAAACTATTAGAGTACCTATAATAAGAGTACCGACAAAAGGAGAATAATTGATGATTGGTCCGCTAAATTGAGGCACAAGCGGAAATTACACTCGTGTGTACTATCAGTGTACATCATTTACACATACATTACACTGTTTCCAGCGAGTTTTGTGCAATGCGTCAGAGCCGTCAGATGTAAGTGGTTTGTTTATTGATCATTTTATTTGTCGAGTCATTTAGATTGAGAAGAAGGAGAGGTGAGTGGCGAATGGATTGCAGTGGAATTATATATTCTTAATGAAATATATATAAAAACGTGAATTTCTCTTGTGTAGTCATTATAACTTAATCTATTTGTTTTTGGACACATATTAGAGCTACAATGCCTGGAGGTATACCAGATTACTGCACAAACTCTGCCAAAAAAGGTTATAAAATGTGTCATTTTCCATGAGACCCAGTCAAAAATTTGGGCTAAAAACACAGGAAAACAAGACTGGATTCCGTCTGATAATTCGGTGTTATGTGAGGTTGGTAAGAATTTGCTTTTATGATTATTTAATATAAATAAATTATTGGACGATGTATATTATTCCAGGTATATATTAGTGCCACGAATGTATTGCTGCCAAAGGATCAAAGACAACAATAAGTGCATACTTTTGATGCATTTTGCGTATTAAATGTTTCAAAAGAGACATTATTTTATGTCAATCTTTCAAGTTTTGGTTTTTTAAAAGCATGGAATCAATAATTAAACAAAACTTCGATGTTCCAAAACCTTCTGTATTTGCTGTTAAATTGTCACGATCTCAAAATAATTAAAAAATATTGCATATTTCATTTGAAAACGCTTTCTGTGATAATCCGTGATAACAGATCCAACTTTGCTAGTAAAAGTATGGCTATGCACCTAAATGTTAAATGACTTAGTAATGCAAAATAACTAAAGAATATTATTAGAGTTTATTTTCAATTTTTTATTTATTTATCATTTCGAGAATTATTTTTTGTTTATTTATCATTTTAAATTATTAATTTGTATTAAGATTTGCTTATTATATAATTGCAATAGTGTTTATTGGATTTAACTATTATATTATTTATGTTAATTTGCGTTAAATTTGCATTTTATTTGACATATATGCATATGTCACTTGTTTTTATTTATCATATGACAGTAATTTCTATTTTGATTTTTACTGTAATTACCGTAAAATATAATATCTTGGTAATTTATGCATTTAAAATAAATTATTTTATTTTTCCTTTTTATAATTCATCATTGATCGATTTTTATGATTCATCATTGATTTTGTGTGCATGCGTGCGTGCGTGAATTTACTTATACATATAATTTCTTTATTTAATTTGATTCAGATTGATTTCTTCAAAACACCGACATATGAAAACAAAAAAGAGGAAAGACGAAACTGAAGATAGAGAGAAAACATAATTATATATTGATTTATTATTTTAAATTATGCAATTCTGTCATCACTGATATTTTGGATTTAAATTGACAAGTTGTATGTACACTGTAATAAAGTATTTATATACCTAACAAAAAATTAAATATACTCTTAAAAAGGTAGTTAATACTCATAAAATCTTATTTTTAAGCTCATTCATTTTCATACTATTTATTTTTAAACAAATTTTACTTTATTCTTTTTGCGTATTTACCTCTGTTGTTATCCTTCTTTAATTTATTCATTATAAAATCATTGGTTCTGCGTTCAGCAAAATATTTACTTTGCAATTGTTGGAAATTTTCTTCGCGCTGATTAAATTATTATTAACTATAGATGAAATGATATGATATAATAGATGAATGTCTTATTTCAGCAGCATTCATAAAATGGTTGCGTTTTGCTGAACGCATTCATTGTTATACAATACATACAATTTCCGTTTTACACTTCACACTTAAAAATGTGCTCGCGTTTCGATGCGTTTCCAGTTTTGCCTCATTCACGCTCTGGTTATGTTCCAAAATTCACTGTCAGTGCTGAAAATGTATAATACACGTAACGTAAACTATAGATTTTCAGTGCTGGCAGTGAATTTTGGAACATAGCCTCTGTTGTCCGTACTTTAGCGTTTTCCACTGGTGCGCACTGAGTGGAATTGTGTTGTTCCACTGTGAAAACCAGTTCAGTATTTAATGTTCCACTGACAACACTGGCAAAAAACTGACAATGAGTTCAACTTTTGCTCCACTGTCTTTGAAGTCAGTAAAGACCAGTGCAAGTTGAAATTGAGATTGTGTTCGTGCTAAGGTATGATATTGTGTTATATGATATTACATTATTATAATTAATGTCATAATAATGACATTGTGTTAGTTTCAATGTTTCTATTAATAGCTGCGCAATGACATTTTGACGTTTAAAATTCTTGAAATGTAAAAATTTAATTTTTTTAAATGCTTTAAATAAATAAATGAATCAGAATATTGCAAAATAAATAATTTAAGTTTGAACATAGTTATATATATTTTTAGGAATGTTATAAAATGGATGTCTTATGATATGTTCCATTGAACCGTACTAAACCTGCACTATTATTGCACTAATGCACAGTTTTCATCTAAATCTATCCAGTAAAAAATTTTTTATGCATGAATATGTATAAATATGTGTAAACATACATAAACGCGCATAAATATTTATAAATATATACGTATAATATATATGTATTGGTAATTATATATGAAATAACATATATGTATAATTATATTAGGTGTACAAAAAAGTTCTGAGCTTTAGATTTGATACAACCGAAATAACAATTTAAATTTTATATATCTTCCCGCCCTTTTGGGGTTTTAAAACAGTAACATTTAACCTCCTGAAATGCGATACGGTTTGGCGTTTGATGCACATAACCTCAAAAATCAGTAGTGTTCACGATGGCAATTACAAAAGAGCATATTCGATTTTCCATCCACTTCGCGTTTCATCTGAAGAAAAATGCTGCTGAAGCCACTGAAATGATTTGTGCTGCATATGGAGAGAACGCTGTAAGTCATGCAACATGCAAAAGGTGGTATCAAAAGTTTCGCCAAGGAGATTTCAGTCTTAAAGATGAATCGCGTGCTGGACGCCCTGAAAAGATTGAAACGGACGAATTGCAAGCACTGCTGGATATAAACTCTGCGCAAACTGAAAAGGAGCTTGCAGAACAGCTTGGCGTTACGCAGCATTAATATTTTTTCGTTTGTTTTTAAATAAAGATTGAATTTTACAAAAAAAAGCTCAGAACTTTTTTGTACACCTAATATAATATATGAAATATGTCCATACATGTTCAAGTATCCTTTTTTCTTTTGTAAAACTACTTTTTAGTATAATAATAGTAATGTGAAAACATTAAAAATAATTAAAAAGATAATTTTCGCATTATTTGCTTTAGAAAAAATCAAGTTTGAAGAAATGTAAAAAAATTACTTACGTATAATTATATATAAAATTATGCATAATTATGTATGAGTAATTTTTTTTACATTTTTCCAAACTTGCTTTTTCTATAACAAACAATGCGAAAATTATCCCTTTAATTATTTTTTATGTTTTTACATTACTATTATTATTTCTATTACACTAAAAAGTAATTTTATAAAAAAAAGAAGGATGTATGAACATGTATGGACATATTTTATGTATAATTATACACGTTTATGAATATTTATGCGTGTTTATGTATGTTTATACATATTTATATTATACATATTCATGCATGAAAAATTTTTTACCAGGTACTAGCACGGCGCTAGTACTGCACCAGTTTTCGCAGTGAAAAACGCTATTGTTATAGGTACTCTAGGCCATGTTAGTGCGATCTTTTCTAAATGAGGATTATTCCCCACTCCTCAAATTTCTGACAATGGTCTAAAGATACTGTGTCTATAATCCCCCTCTTCCTCCCCCCCCCCTCCGCTCAAAGGCGATGTCCACTCGAAACAACTTCCACCTAACTTTTCCTCTGTTTAGGAGCGTACGATTTCCACGCAAAATGACTCCCACCCTATCTCCCCTCTGTTTAGAAACGCCCGACTTTCATGCGAAGCGACTCCCAGTACTTTATTTAAAAAAATAACTTTTTTTAAGAGTCACCAAAAATCCCTTTAAGGACTTTTATTTTGACATAAAAATGAAACTTTTTGCAAAGTTTTATTGAAATCGAAGGGATTCGGTTTTCGGAAGTTTATCCGGAAAATATATTAATGATAATTTTCTGGAAGGTTTGATCGCAGCATATTTCTTATCAGAGTCTAAAATAGAAGTTATAGCGGTCGCAGAGTCTTAAGTCATAGAAAATTGACCAATCATAGTTGATTATTTTTTTCATATTTGACTGTGATTGATTAATTTTCTGCAACTTCTATTATAGACCTCGCATTATATTGCGACGCTCTTGAAATACATTTCTGCACGCGATTCGGCGGCTCGTCAAGTATTGAGCGGTAGTGGGGAAAAAGTAGACAGTGCTTCAGAAATCAACCCGAAATGTGCAACTAATTTTGAGCACCAAGGGCTAGTTTCACCAATGTCAGTTAGCTTAATCAGCTGTTGACTGACCAATCGCGTTTGCTGTTTAGTAGAATCAACCACGGTTGACAGTTAATCACGATTAAGCTTGATCGGCGTTGATGAAACCGGCCTAAATTTATAATATAAGATAAACTTATAATAAAGAATAAACTATTCTAATGTCGCATAGGTTGATTTGTGAGATAGGCAATACTACATCTAAAATAATCTCAACTATTCTCTAGAGACCCTCTAATCATCTGAAGTGGCCGCCATTTTTTATCGAAATTGTGCGAGAGAGAAAAATCGTGTTATTTTACTTCTTCTCACCCTACAATGGCGCTGTATAAGAGCAGCTTTATAGAGACGCTTTATAAAGGTAGAATTTCATGCAGCGAAACTTCGCTGGCGAAGACTCCCCATTCCGCCAATTCGTGTGAAAATGAAGCTTCGCTCAAAGTTCAATATTGTCCAACTATGAGCGAAGCAATGCTGATTCCGATTATAGTCCACTTGATTGGCCAAATATTTTGAAGCATTTTTTTGATTGGTCAATTTTTTGAATTGTCTGTTCAACGTTCCTTTATTCACGGCATAGTGAGAGCAACCCCAAGTTGGCCAATCAAGTGAACTATAGTCAGCGTTGCTTCGCTCATAGTTGGACAATATTGAACTTTGAGCGAAGCTTCGTTAGCTATGCATTTTCGCACGAATTGGCGGAGTGGGGGGTCTTCGCCAGCGAAACTTTGTCAGTGAAACTTCGCTCTATGAAAAGGTAAAAGGGCTTTACCAAAGATCGTTGAATGCTGGCTTTATTTATAGCGGAGTGGGGCAAAGCTTTGCTGCATGAAATTGTATCTTAAGCCTCATAATTTTTGATGAACATTCTGGCACGTTCAGGCCAAAAAACGTTAAAATTTACTAGTACTTAGTCACAAATAACGACAGCCAATCGATATCTCGCTTGCTCGGAAATAATAAATATAAAATTTCCATCGATAAAGTAGTCCAAGATCCCACCGCGAGTTTGTGCATTTATCTCGTATGCAGATGAAATGTAAACAAAATCGAAGTTCGTGTTGAGAGCAACATTAAACCACAAAGGTGCCTTAAAAAAAATGGTCAGAAATATCATTAATTACGACTTATGAAAAAAGGAGCGTGTGCGCGGCTCCGGGCGATGATGCAACTGGCAGTCACAACCACGCACTTTCAACCGTCAGTTGCTGCGTCCTTGTTCACCGCCCGAATCTCGCTCCTTCTCTCGTAAATCGTAAGTCGTAATTAATGATATTCTGATCACTTTTTTTTAGGCACCCTTGCGGTTTAGTATTGCCTTCAACACGAACTTCGATTTTTTTTTATATTTCATCTGCATACGCGATAGGTACACTCGCGGTGGGATCTCGTACTAAAAGTTGAACTCAATCCAAATTTTACCGCACAGCGGAGGCAGCATTAAGGTCGCACAGACTTTGGCATAACGCATAACGCACAGTGCATAAGCGAATCAACTAATCAGAATCTTTCCTTTCCTCTAATTCCACGGAAAAGAAGAATTTCAATTGATTGATTCCTTTATGCACTATGTATTATGCGTTATGCAAGAGTCTGTGGTGCGGCCATTACATTATTTCCAGAAATTTTGCAAAGTGGGGGCGACTTAAGAACGTAGAATTATAGGCTAGTGCGACAACTTCCGCCGCGCGACAAGCGTTGCCACATTCTGTGTGTAGAAGCCATAAGTTCATGGCAATGCATCATGCATTTAAAGTAAAAGCATAATGTATTTTCATTATGCATTTAAATGAAATGGATGAAAAATGTCGGACCAATCACCGAGAAGAAGGCCAGATTCTGATTAGAGGATCTCTATACTACATTCAATAGATAAGATTTATACTTATTCATATAGAG